ATTGACACAAAGTCCACCACTGCCAAGGTCCTCAAATTACAATCGGTAAACACTTAGGTTCAACATACTTAACGAACACCTAGTTCTAACACTCCTAGTGAACACTTAATTCAAACATCTGGTGAATACTTAGTTCTAAAACACTTAGTGAACACACTCAGTTCAACAACACCAAGTGAACACATCTAGTTCAAAAATACTTAATGAACACATTGAGTTCAAAAATATCAAGTGAACACATAGAGTTCAAAAATACCTAATGAACACGTTGAGTTCAAACACCAAGTGAACACATAGAGTTCAAAAATACCTAACGAACACATAGAGTTCAAAAACACTTATTATTTCGTCTCACATCAACTATTTCATCTACCCATGTTCTACCCAACATATTTGTAGATGCAAATACATATACAGTTTAAATCTTTTAAAACCTGTATAAAACATTAATTCAACATCCATCTCAAGTAAACAAACAATGTATAAACACATAACACATACTTCATAGCAAATACTTCATATATGTGTTAGAAGGAAAGTAACTACACACTCACTTGATAAGACGATGATCGGACAACACCTCGTCTCTTAAAACAATCGTTTCCGATAAAACCGGGACGTTTTCCCAAAAAAACGGGCTTGACGTGGACAGAGTTTCGGCTTGAAAATATAATTTTCTCGGGAACTTTGGAGCGTCGGGACTTGCTTCGGGTGTCGGGATGATATCGGGGCTTCGGGGGTATTTCTCGCAAAGTAGAAGAAAGAAAAAGGGGTGAAAGAAGTGGAAATTAGCAAAAAGATCGGCAGCCCTCGTGTTCTATTTATAGGGTGCTAAACTCCGATTTACGCTGGGCGTACTCCGCTGTCGACATGTACGTTGGGCGTACTGGGTGGATCAAACCGGACGCGTCACTACTTCGGATAAGCTCCGAATTAATATTTTTATTTATTTATTTTATTTATTTAAAAACTTCAGAAATACATAACTTCTGCATACGAGCTCCGTTTTGACGTTCTTTATATCCACGCGTAGGTGAGACTATGCTCTACAACTTTCATTTAGACTCCGTCGGCAAATTTTGATTTTATTTTTATTATATTATTTTTAGTAGGTCGGGACAGGAAAACTCCGTTAGAAATTCATAACTTCTTCATCTGACGTCCGTTTTCGTCTGTCTTCTTACCGTTGGACTACTATTGACGAGATCTTCGATTCTCGTTTAGATTGTTTCGACTAGAAATCACTCGATCTCATATTCGAACTTTGGGTTGCATACTGCTAAGTCGAAACTTAGAAAAATCATAACTTCCTCATACGAGATCAGATTTAGACTCTCTTATTATATATGCTCTCGATTTAACGTATTCTACGACTTTCGTTCAGATAACTAAGGCTAAATATCGCTCTATCGTAAATTCACTATTTACGTCACACAGTGTCGTACCGGTTCAGTCGCGAAACTTCGACATGTCATAACTTCCTCGTTATAACTCGGATTTCAGCATTCTTTATATATTCGGAAACCTTTCCACGACCACTACAACCTAGTTAAGATTATTCATTCTAAATAATCTTTTATCAAAAAAGTAAAATTTGATGCTTATCGTCTCTAAATTGACTAGCCGGGATCTACGGGCGTTACAATAAATCATCAGAATCAACAATTTACATGTATCACAAAGGAAATTGGAAGTTAATGTCTTGATGAAGTTTTCATGTATGGAGGGCAGGGATTAAGGGATAAATGTGTTAAAAATATTCTTGTTTCCTAATGATTCTGAATATGGAAGTAGGAAACAAATGTAAGCTTTCTTGAATCTTGACATATACCATCTTGCTTAGTTTTCCACATCTATTCATAAACATACAAATCCAGGTTGGAAATTAAGCAATCAGCTGAAGGAACAGAAGAAGTTCCTGGACTCTCTGAGGTGCTTGTGTACAAGACATATGAAGTGTGGGAACTGCTCAAAAGCGGGAGTCGTGTCAGATCTGTTGGATCTACCAATGCCAATGAGCTAAGTAGCCAATCTCACTGGTAAGTGTGTGTGTGTGTGTGTGACTGTGTGTATTTAGTTATAGCATTGTAGTTGTGAATATAAAATTAAGGTGGAATCTTTATGGAAAATGTTGTTGTGTAGCTTATTAAGAGTGACAGTTCGTGGGGAGAATTTGGTGAACGGACAGTTCGTGGTTATTTGATTTAGTGGGAAGTGAACGTGTGGGGAAGACCGAAGGAATCCCAATTCATAAATAAATCACTTTCAGCTTTAGGAGATGTGATTTTAGCTCTTGCATCAAAGACTTCTCACATTCCTTACAGGTATGTCTCTCATCTACCCCATCTTGGATTATTTATTTTTTTTATTGTTTTTTTCTTATTTCAATCTTCTTTTTGACCAAATCAGGAACTCAAAGCTTACCCATATTCTTCATAGCTCTCTAGGTGAGCTTTCTTTGCACATAATGTTGTGATAAAATTACAATACTACAATAAATAAATTAGTAAAAGTAGATTGATATTTTCTTGCAGGAGGTGATTGTAAGACATTGATGTTCATCGGATTTGGGAGAAACAATTTGTTCCCTGAATTTTGCATGCAGAGTGAGAGGTGTTGAATATTGCCCAGCTAGAAAACAAACTCATGTCACTGAGCTATTCAAGTACAAACAGCTGGTAATTAATTAGCAAACTACTTTCATTTATTTATTATATTGTTTTGTTATATAATTAAATTAATTATCTGTTGTTTATTTTGTTAAAAAAAATAGGCTAAGAAAGCAAAACATGATGAGAAAGAAACCAAAAAGTTGCACGATAATCTTCAGTCTATGCAACTCCGTCTTTCTGCAAGAGAACACATATGTAGAACTCTACAAGAAAAGGTAAATCAAGAAATAATAACAACATTAAAGAACAATTACTGATTATTATTATTATTATTTATTTATTTTGTGGTTTTAGGTGCCTGACTACAATATCGGAAAAAAGACCTCCATTAGTTACTTCCACATCAAAACTCCGCCTTCCTCTCAGAAGAATCACAAATTTTGTGTCCACTCCCAATTTCAGCAAAATTGCCTCAAATAAGTTCAAGATTGTATGTAATGTGGGGAATCCTTTATAGTTTTCCTGAGGTTAGAGCTTTCTTCCTTTTAGTTAATAATTTTCAGTTTTATAACAGTTTTACTGAGATAAAAAAAAACTTGATTGTGACAGGTTCAAACACATCCTATTGTTAGCTCTTTGGTCATTAGTTGGAGTATCACTGAGGTAAAAAAAACATTTGAGCTTGAAGAAATGGAAGAAAAAAATAAATGATTTCATTATTTTGTAACCATATATTATTTATGGTGCTGATAAATTAGATTATTAGATACTCTTTCTTTGGGACAAAAGAGGCATTTGGTTCTACTCCACACTGGCTTTTATGGATCAGGTTTGACCTTCATTCTTTGGTCAACTAGGTTCAAGAATTTATTTCTCATTATTTTTGTACTCTCTTTTATAAAAATTGTAACTTTTGGTTGTGTGAGTGTAGGTATAGCACCTTTCTTGTGTTATATCCAACTGGCATCTCAAGTGAAATTGCTATGATCTATAATGCATTGCCTTATATGAAGGTAACAACCCTCCATTCCTACTACCATATAATATGACCATTTTACCCTTTTCTTTTCCTTGACTTTTTGTATTAAGTAAAAAAGAGACACCTATATAGATAGCTTACCGGATTTTTTTCCCATTAAGTCGTGTTATGGGTATCTAGGACCAGAATAAACTATCCGAATCCGAGTAAATGACCATTTTACCCATCTATTTAGAAATGATGCTTGTTAACAAAGAAGTAGTATCTAACTCTTGCTTGAGTAAATGGTTATTTTACCCTTCTCTTTGGCCAATGATCATTTCACCCTTCTATTTAAAAAACAATGCTTGCTAACAAGGAAACAATATCTTACTTTTGTTAAATTAAATGACTGTTTAACCCTTCTATTTAGAAACAATGCTTACTCACAAAAGAAATAGTATCTTACTCTTGTTTGAGCAAATGATCATTTTACCCTTCTATTTAGAAACAATGCTTACCAACAAAAGAAACAATATCCTACTCTCCTTTGAGTACATGACCATTTTACCCTTCTATTTAATGAATGACCATTTGACCATTCTATTTGGTAAATGACCATTTTATCATTGTATTTTGCAGGAGTCTGAAAAGTATTCCATAAGGATGCCCAACAAATGGAACTTTTCATTTGATTACTTCTATTTTGCTGTTGTGGTGTTAGCAGCTCTATAATTTCATGTATAATTTAGGTGGGAAATCATCCGTTCTTATATGAAGATTTATTTGGTTATTGTTGTTGTATTATAATTTATAAACATTTATAACATTTTCCTTTTCTTTTGTTTTATTGGATATTATTATATTTCATTTTAAAAATGACATTTAATATTTCAATAATTTCTTAATTATTGACCCTTTTTTTTGTCTAAAAGGCTAAATCAGCGACGACCTGTTATAGTCACTAATTAGATAAACAAGTGATCACTTTCTATGGTCACTAATCGGATAAAACAGTGACGACTTTTATTGGTCACTAAGTAGATAAAATAGTGACGACTTTCATTGATTAGTGACAACATTTAGTGACGAAGTGGGTCGTCACAGATTTAGTGACGACTATATTTTAGTCACTGTTTAGTGACCATATTTATATCTGGTCACTAAATCGGTTTTGTGACGGACCTATAATGACGAAAAGTGACGACCGAAATTTTGGTCACTAAATCATTTAGTGACGACTCATTCTATTGTTAGTGACCATTTCGTTTTGGTCACTAATTGGCATATTTTTTGTAGTGTCTATAACTTCTTTGACAAATTATGCTCATTATTTCACAACTCTTTCAAAGACCACATATATTTTATGGTAGTTTTTGTAACCAATATCTAGTCGCATAATAGTGGATTGAAGTTCATTTTATAGTACTTATCAAATAAAGAAGAATATTTTTTTTTTATTTTTTTTATTATTTTTTATTTTTTATATTTTTTAATAGAAGGATAAAATGGTCGTTTATTTTCATCCATGCATATATCATTAATTCGGTTAAATAAGAAACAATTTTAGTCCAAATCCTTGTTGGTTTTATTTGTTGCACGTTTGATCCTTTTGAGTAACATCGTCCCTGCAAAAACAAATCGATGGGAACTTTGTAGAGGGGAGCTGATCCGTACACAAAAAAATTTCTCCATACACAACAATTGGTGCTTTAAAATGTTATATTGTACAACTATATAATGCATGAATTGTTGTGTATGACAAAAAAAATGTTGCACGTTTGATCCTTTTGAGTAACATCGTCCCTGAAAAAACAAATCGATGGGAACTTTGTAGAGGGCATAGTAAGAGGATAGCACTTGGAGGTCTGAGTCTGACCACCAAATTGCGTCTTGGAAACTGCTGGTAAAAATTCTGATTTAACTATCGCTTTCTATAATTAAGATAGTTTTGATGAATTGGTGTTCATTGAGCAGTTAAAGGAAAAAAAATAAAAAGAAACAAATCTTTGCTATTATAGATCATAGATTAAACGAATTCTGCCCTTTCCAAAAAAGTTGAATTTACTTTGTACATTTCTTTTCCCTTTTATTTTTCTAGTCGTAACTAGTGTAGCGTTTTTAATCAAAATATTTATTTCTGACGACTATGTAATTAAATAGTGACCATGGACTAAACCGTAATGGACCCAAATAGTATCATATCACTATTTTCATGGACGGACAGTGTATTTGATTCCATTAGTTTGCTTTTTGGGATTTATGTCACATAACTTCAGAACCAAAAAATATCAGACAATGGGAACACACACACACACACATATATTTGGGGCAATTTATTTCAATTATTCATCATTAATCTGACTTACAGCTTGGTAGGGGCAGTTTATTTCAATCCGTCATCATGAGATTGTCTTATAACATGGTTCAAATTTCATGGAAGCGAAGCATCCTATGCTCTACTGGAATGGCCCACCAATTTGAGGTCATTCACTTGTATCCTTCATCTTCACAATGAAGGCTATATAAACCGTCATGGGGGCAGCTTATACATGCATCAATACAATCTAAAAATCACCAATATTTGCACTTACATGATGAATCCTTGTGTTTTCATTATTTTCTCACTTCTCTATCTACATCTGGAGCCTTCAACTGCCAACCAATTGGTTATCAACAAGTGCTCCGATAACGAGAGAGATGCTCTCCTTCATTTCAAATCTCACCTTCAAGACTCCCATGACTCCGATCATCTCCCTACTTGGAGAGCTGACAAACATGACTGTTGTACATGGGAAGGAGTCACGTGCAACAACCAAACAGGCCATGTTACAAAGCTTAATCTCAGCGGCTATAATCTTGAAGGTGAGATTAGCCAATCATTACTTAACTTAAGCTACTTGAATAATCTTTATCTTTCAGGCAATTCTTTTAATGGAACCATTCCCACCTTCATTGGTTCCATGACTCAGTTAAGGTACCTTGATCTTAGCGATAATGATTTTGAAGGAATAATTCCCAGATCAGTTAGTTCCTTGACCAAATTAAGAGCTCTTCGCCTCAACCTTAATAATCTTAATGGAACCATTCCCAGGTTCATTTGTTCCTTGACCGAATTAAGGATGCTTGACCTTTCTTATAACTCTCTTTATGGAACCATTCCTCCAGAGTTTGGAAACCTCACCAACTTGGAAATACTTGTACTTTCATATGCTGGAAGGTGTAGAGTTGAAAACCTAGATTGGTTATCTCATCTCTCTCATATGGAGATACTTTATATGGATGGGATTTCCTTAGCCAGTCAAAATCATTGGGTAAATGTAGTTCTGAGTATCCCAAAACTATTTACCTTGAGTTTAAAGGGATGCGAGCTGTCACAGGTCATGTATCCATATTCTTCATTTCTCAATTCTTCTTCATCTTTGATAAGCCTCGTTCTTGGAAACAACAATCTCACCTCATCCATGTATCATTGGATGTTTCCATTAACCAGCAATAAGCTCCAGTATCTTTATCTCTCTGACAATATGTTAGATGGGATACCCAAATATCTTGGTAACCTCTCTAGTTTGGAAAATTTGATATTTGATAACAACTCTGCAATGATCGAATTTCCTGTTTTTCTGAACAACTTGTCTGATGAGATCAGAACACTGAAAAATCTTTTCTATCTTGATATTTCCAACAATGGAATTTTAGACACCGTTCATCAGGATTTTTGGGACATGTGGCCTTCTCAATTAAGATATCTAAATCTCTCTTCTAACAGCATCAGTGGGAAAGCACCAGATTTATCATCAGCTTTTGACAACAATTCAGTAATAGATTTGAGTTCCAATAACTTTTATGGTCCAATATCAAATGTTTCTTCCACTGTAGCATCGTTAAATCTTTCCAGAAACAAATTCTATGGAGGAATCTCATTTTTATGCCAAATTGTACATGGGAACTTATCATTTGTTGACCTTTCCCATAACTTTCTAAGCGGACAACTTCCAGACTGCTTGTGGCATTTCAAAGAACTAAAAGTTCTTAATCTAGGGCACAACAATCTTTCTGGAAGGCTTCCTCCCTCTATTGGATCTTTGATACAACTCGAAGCATTGTACTTATACGAGAACAACTTCTCTGGAGAATTACCTTTTTCCATAAAGAATTGCACGAGTTTGACCTCATTAATTTTGTGGGCCAACAAGTTTTCTGGCAATGTGCCTGTTTGGATTGGTGAAAACTTGTCGGGGCTGTATGTTCTTATCCTAAGATCAAACAACTTCTTCGGAACCATCCCTTTGCAATTATGTCGATTAGCAAATCTTCAAATTCTAGACTTGTCCATAAACAATCTCCATGGATCCATCCCATCATGTTTGAATAATTTTACAAGTATGGTACAAGAAAGATTCTTACCGACACAAAATGTACATTCCTATATATTTATGTGGTTTTATTCAGATGGTATACGTATTTCCTTTAAAGATAAGTATGTTGACAATGCAATAATCGGGTGGCAAGGAGATGAACGTGAATTCTCTAGTAATCTAAGGTTGTTGAAGATGATTGACCTGTCAAGCAACAATTTAACAGGTCAAATCCCATACGAGATTACCAATCTTTATGAACTGGTTTCACTAAACTTATCAAATAACGCTCTACTTGGAGAGATTCCATGGAATATTGGTCAGATGAAAAAGCTTTTAACTTTGGATTTATCTAGAAATAATTTTTCAGGAGGAATACCATCAAGCATGTCTGGTATGACTTTTTTTAAGTCATCTAGATGTTTCATATAATAGCTTGTCAGGGAGAATCCCATCTAGCACTCAACTTCAATCCTTTCCTCCTTCAAGATACGATGGGAACGCAGGACTATGTGGACCTCCCCCTTACCAAAAAATGTCTTGGAGATGAAGAATCAGAAGCAACATCAGTCAATGATAAAAGCGAGGGTGATGGGGAAGACATAGATGAATTTTGGGGATGGTTCTATATTGGTGGGGTAACCGGTTTTGTTACTGGATTTTGGATAGCATGTGGCACTTTACTTCTCAATGGTCGAGGGAGACATGTATTTTTTCACTTTTATGATAGCTTCAAAGATTGGGTTTATGTGAAGATTATGTTGTTCATTGTAAATTTGCAAAGGGTTAGACATACATAGTTTCTCATCTAATTTTTCTTTGTAACTTATTTTCTAGCATGTATCTTAATTATCTTCAACAGACCTATTAATGGTCTTATTTTGGGCTAGATGTTTGGTAATGTAATCTGAAAGGGGTTTTAAGTCCTCGATATCAATAAAATTGTCACCAACACCATGGGTGGCCATTTCTCGCATTGTGTGAAATAAAACATTCTGAAAAGTTCATACTTTGTAGCATGTAAAAATAAGATGAAAATGTAGCTATTGTTGTAAATTTGATGGACTATTTTTATAGGACAATTCTCAATGTAGATTATTTTTAGAGTAGTACTTAAGAGATGATACATCCATATATACTCTGTACTACAATGATAATATTTGTAACTTCAACTCACTTGGAACGAACCTAGATGATCCAACGTCCTTTCAAGTGCCCATTGAAGATCCATTGTGTTTATCTACATAAGATTGACCTTTTTTCAATCAACTTAAGTAATTGATTAATACCAGCTTCCGAATTATAGCATAAAGTGAGCATACATATCAACACAACAATATAATTAATTTAATCATCTATATCTCATCAATTTGAAGACTTTCCCAAGTTTGACCAATTTAGATCAAAATGCGTGATTTTGGTTCCAGACTCGATACATATAGTAAGACTTAACAAATAAAATCCGTTCATGGATTTACCTCAAACGAACTTTTTTGAGGCCTGGTGCTGTCATACGAACGTTGATTGTGCAGCCATTGAGTAACCACCTCATATAACTCATAGACAACTTTAGCAGCTCCTTTTGAGAGTTCATGATTTTCATCCATGATTTGATACAACAATATTCAAGCAAAGATATCACATAATGACTAGCCTTCTAGACTAAAAAAATTACAAGAGTTCCACTATGGTAATTATTTATTTATTTATTTTGTAACAATATTGAATCTTGACAACACCAAAGGAAGTTTCTTAAAATCCACGACGAGTGAAGCATTTACATACTATTATGAATCTCATAAAAGATAGTCAAGCTAGCGGCGCAGCATGTTGTCCGTTTGCCTTCAATCGATATGTATTGAACTATTTTAGTCGAATTCAATATAAAATATATAAAATGCGAGCATCCATTTGGAACATTGCCAAAGAAAGATGTAGTATTTCAGAAAAGAAGAACATACTTAGCTAGCATAAAATAAAAGTATCCAAATCAGGTCTTGGTTCATCAATTTGTGAGTCATCTCCTTCTGGTCTTGGGGTTTGCTGCTGCCGGAAAAACCCTTCATCACATCTCAGAGAGGTGTGTGTGCATAGAAAAGATCTGCCTCTTCTTCTTATTTATACTTCCAAACTCCTCCAATCATAACTAAAATCGAAAATCGAACGGATCCAGGTGATTGCATATCAAGTAGCCATGGATTCACTACAAGAAGAACAACATGTATAGACGACACCTATCCAGACGACATATGTCATCGGCAAAAGCTACGCTATACCGACGACATGTCATCGGTACAACATTTTCCAACTTTGACCATATGTCTTTGACCAAAAAAGCTATCCTGATGACAAGCTATCCCGACGACAGGTCGTCTGCATAGACTCGGCGGGAAGGGGCAAAACATTGGTGGTATATAGAGAACCAATGCCGACGACATCTCATCGGTATAGGATATTAAAAAAATATTTTTGATTTATTTATATTCCTTGTCGCAGAAAATCAAGACGTCGTCGTTTTCGTCAACATATGCTGACGACATGTCGTCTGTATAGGGTATTAAAAAAATAATTTAGGTTTATTTTTAATCCGTGTCGCAGAAAATCAAGACGATTTCGTTTCGTAATCCTATACCGACGACATGTCGTCTGGACAAAGTGGGGTAGATCCGCGTGAAAACCATTTTTTATTTATTTTTTTAATGACGTAAAGCGCAACTACATAGTTTTGATTTACCTATACCGATGACTTGTCGTCGGCATAGGGTTTCCCGGTAACAAAACTCGCAAACTGCGTTCATTTTGCAGTCGCTTGGGTTTTCTTTTCCCTCTCAAGCTATTAAAATAAAACTAATTATAAAATCAAATTAAATTAATTTAAAAAATTAAACTAATAACAAAGAAGAAAATATTAAATTAATTATAAAATTAAATTAAATTAATTTTAAAATCATATTAAATTAATTATAAAATCAAATTAAATTAATTATTAAATCAAATTAATATTAATATTAAAATAAAATAAAACTAATTATAAAATCAAATTAAATTAATTTAAACACTTAAACTAATAACAAAAAAGAAAATATTAAATTAATTATAAAATCAAATTAAGTTAATTTTAAAATCAAATTAAATTAATTATAAAATCAAATTAAACGGTATATTTTTTAAACCAAAATATTATGTAATATAATATTAAAAGTACGATGATATAATAGAAAATAAATAAAAGTATGATGTTATAATTAACAAAATTAAGATACTTTTGTTAATTATAACATTATACTTTTGTTTATTTTCTATCATAACATCGTACTTTTAAAATTATGGATTAAATAACGTACCGTATAATATGATTTTCTTATTAAAACACGTTGAATCATTGATTTTTAGTTTAAGTTTCTTCTTCATAACCATTGTGAATACTCTATCAATTCCGTCTGATTTTTACTTCTCGAGTATATATTTTTTATATACTTGTGAATACTCTATCCATTCTCGGGTATATATTTTTTATATAGCCCAAATACAATCTAACTTTCGATAACTATATATATATATATATATATAGATATATATATATAATATATATATATATATATATATATATAATATAATTTTTAATAATGAAACAGCAATGACAATCGATAAGAGTTGGATTGGAGAGAACCGAATGTCTTCAAAATACTTGGAAGGTCTTAAAAACTTTATGAAGATTGTTGAGAAACATGTCAACTCTAAAGGCAAAGTGCGTTGTCTGTGCAAAATGTGTGTGAATTCGTATCGACATGTTTTGTCTACGGTTTATGCCCACTTACATGACATTGGGTTTCTAGAAACATATACTACGTGGATTCATCACGGTGAGAAACATGTTGGTTCTTCAAATTTAAGCTACAATTCGACTCCAAGAATAAACACTCCAGTAAACACGCCCACAAGTAATGAGATGTTTGATGTAATTGATGATGTTATGGCGGAACAAAATACAAATGAAGAAAATATAGACGAGGAGGGACGAGGTATAGACCCAGAATTTGATGATTTGTTTGAGGAGCTCAATACCAAGTTATACCCTGAATGTAGCGATATGTCTGCCTTAAACGTTTTGGCAAAGCTGTTGCATATTAAAGGGATCAATAGATGGACAAATAGTTCATTTCACCAGCTTGTAGAGTTACTAAGAGCTGCTTTCCCGAAGAGCAAGATTCCAGCCTCACACTATGAAGCTAAAAAGAAGTTGAGAAAGATAGGGTTAGGATATCAATCGATCTACGCTTGCAAAAATGATTGTGCTTTGTTTTGGAAGGAGAATGGTTTCATGCAGAATTGCCCGATTTGTAAGGAGAGTAGATGGGTGGACGCAACTACAAAGGGGAAGAAAGTACAACAAAAAGTGTTATGGTACTTTCCTTTGACTCCAAGACTTCGACGAATGTATAACTCCAAATTCACAGCTAAAGATATGGTTGGCATAATAGTGGACGCTCAATAGATGGTATGATGTATCATCCGATTGATGGGAAGTCATGGCAAGATTTTGATCAAAGATATCCAGAGTTTGCTAAAGAACGTAGAAATGTTCGTCTAGGTATGGCTGTTGATGGCTTCAATCCATTCGGAAACTTTAATAGTACTTATTGTACTTGGCCGGTTATATTGACTACCTACAATACACCACCATGGATATGTATGAAAGAGTCTTCTTTCATGCTAAATTTGCTGATTCCTGGCCCTAAATCACCCTTAAAGGATATTGATGTTTTCTTGAGGCCTTTGGTGGATGAGTTGAAAATGTTGTGGGCCGAAGGAGTCCAAATGAGAGATGCATCAACCAACACCGTATTCAACATGCGTGCAATGTTGTTATGGACTATCAATGATTTTCCAACACATGGAAGTTTGTCTGGATGAAGTGGTCAAGGTTACTTAGCATGCCCTACTTGTAACGCAGACACATCTTCCATTCATGTCACCAACAAGATGTCTTATGTTGGTCATAGACGATTCTTGCATATGAACCATAAGTGGAGGCAAAGTTTATTGTTTAATGGTCAACCTGAGAGAAGACCACATCCAAGACGATTCAGTAATACTGCTATATTAAAGCAACTGGCTTGTCTCCCTGATCATATTCTAGGG